GAGTCAAATTCTATCTATTTAGCCCAAAATTCAGAAAAACAGTTTTTCTCAACAAAGAAAAGAAAAGAAGAAAAACGCGATGCGTTCTTTTGTGACTGGTGGTATGATGAGTTAAATGAGATAAAATATTTGACTCCATCTCTTACGTAAAAAAACTAGATAGGCTTACAAAATCGACCTATACGTATTGCAGTCGGCGTGATTCGAAGCACCATCATCAAAAAATTCTTTAGATTGGGCTCGATCTAACAACTTGTCTATACTCAGTTTTTTATGCTGAATTTGAAAAAAAATATTTTTAGAAGCTGGAAAAAAGAAGGAAGCAGAAAAGTTTGCACATTTTGAAAAAGATGTGTTTTTCGTATTTTTCGACCCAGAAAAGCATTTTCTGGCGCTAAAAAAATAGTTTTTCGTGATCAGCAGCTCACACTCTATCAAATGATGTAAAAGAAAGGTCAAAAAAAATTTTGCTTGAAATTCGAATTGCCAGCACTATATATATAACATATTTATTGTTCACTGTGCCGATGACGAATGGGTTCGTTGAAATATAAATTATTTTGAATAAAATAAGTTCAATTCACTTTTACACGTCGTATATTGAACAGAGATGGAATCACAACCAGACAGTGAGCAGTAAAGCAGACCGAAATTCACTAAAAATTTTAGGCAAAGAGTACATATGAGCTTTCTGCCAAAGAAAAGTACTCTAAAGTTGATTTTCTGCGGAAATTTTGCAGAAAATATATTCTTGATGCTATCTATCTATTTTTGCCAGAAAGAGGGATAATATGACTCAACTGTTTGCATTGCTACCACTAATCAATAAGTATGCATGCATCGCGGAGAGGAAATTTTGAGAAATTCATCTTCTTAAATTTTGTTTATATATAGGTTGTATGAAAGCGAGAAAAAATATTTTTCAGCAGAAACACGTAGAAATACAGCGGAAAAAAAATTGGCAGAAAGGATCCGAATTTAGCGGGAGGAAAACCCCCCCCCCCCCCCCCCTAATCGACAAGCCTGTACACAATAGAAACTCTTTGTATTTGTGTAAGTTTTAGCTAATATCAATCAATCATTAAAAACTAAATCGTAAAAAACGAAAATTGTATACTATGGGAAACACTATCTCAAGTATATTGAATGATAAAATCAAAAAAACGATAGACTTCGTTTCATACACAATCAAAAATCGAAAACGAAGTTGATTCAGGTGAATAAATATATCGATAAGTAGAATAGGATCATAAAATTTCATTGACATAATCATTGAACTCAGAACAAGTAAAAATAATTTCATCTTGAATAGCTCGAGAGTTACTAAATCTAACGAACAGAAACATGATGTGATAATTAAATCAATTCAAATTCGAGAATTTCTTATACACAATATGAACATACGATAATATAATCAACTTTTGATCGATCATTTCATTTATGTATTCATATTGAAACAATAAGTAAAAAAACACTTATTTCATTTTCTTCTAATTTTCACTTTAAACATCATATGTATCTCTTACGGCTAATATGCTTTCTAAGAAAGAACGTATTATTTAAATTTGTTCTCGCTCTAACTTTGTATAATATAACAAATTAATCACCAATGCTTGTTCTTTGCAGTTCTGAGTTGTATTGAAACTATGTACTACGAATTTTTAGTATTAAAATATATCGTATTGTTAGTTAATCCAACTATTCGAAGATGAATAATGATTAGATATTGAAGAGAATACGAAATGTTTTTTTCGTGTGTTAATATTGGAGGTATGGTGGTGATCCTATGTTCGTTCTTGTCAAAAAATAAACAATTTCCAACATCTCTTCAATATGACTTCCCAGTTACCTTTTTGAAGCTAATTTTCTCGAATAATATTTATTGATACAAAATAAAAATAACAATATCTTGTTTATTACAATAAAATAAAATATCTAATTAAATAAGAAAATCATTCTATAATTTCCAATACAATGAAGTAATATCGTAAATGAAGCAAAGAATAAAAAAAATAAACTAACGATAAATACAATACAAGTATTGAAGTTTTAGAAATCAAACTTATTACAAATTATTACAATCCCAATAGATAATAGGATTATGAGTGGTACAACAAAGAAGAAAATAGATTTAATTAAAACAAAAACTTTTATGTAACATGAATAAGAAAAAATATTTAAATCGATACCAATGATATCTTTGTTGCGGTAACCAATACATATTTACAATAGATGATGATGGCTAGATAGAAAAAAAAACATATTTATAATAATTTTATTTTAAAAGAACATTCTACCTGGTCTTCTATCCACCAATAAATACCATATGATGATAAACCATATTTTGTTGATCGATAAATACGACATGTAAAATTATCTTTCGTAAGTCGTTTTGAGTACTCGATTATTGAATTTGGATCTTGACAAAAACTGGCTTCGGTGTCAAAGAATACATCATCACAAAAAAAAGATGCATTTGATAAATGTTTAAATCCATCAATGAAACAAATCATTGTTTGTATGGATTCAATAGGTGATTTATAAATAAGATGTTGTACAAATGCAAAAAGACGAAATAATTCTTCAATTATATAATCACTGTATTTATTAAAAATGCCTATTTCAAGTTTATGAATTTGTGAAAATCGATAAAGTCGAATTCGTTCAATCATATCACTTGTCACATCATTTTTAATTGATAATTCACATAGTTGAGGCATATTTGATTCCAGAGGAATTAATTTTAATATGTCATCTAGTGATAATACAGATAAGTGTTTTATTTGATTTAGATCCATAGTAGAAGTAAGAATCTGGACTGATATTGAACATTCGAGTATAAGTTCTTTGATATGAGTAAAATAATAATTACTATCGATGACATCTGTTTTTATTGTAATTTTATTTAGACGATCGTAGATAACCGTATGATTAAGTGCTGTGGAACGAAGACTTGTTTGCCAAGAAATATCGATATGATCAGGAGCAAAATGAGGTATTGAAAATAAACATCCGTTTTTGTATCCGATAAACCA